CTAATCATATATGTGCACTGAATATATTTACACTTTCGTATAAGACGTAAACTGTACTAGGTTAACCATGTGTGGCAAACTCGATCTAACGACCACCGTTGACAAGAGAATTTGAACTTCATTCAATTAACAAAAGCTCACTTGGTCCATCTGCTAGGTTCTCTTACTAGACAACCATTTATTTATTTTTTATATTTTTTTTAGGGGGTTAGGACAAAATGAAAGTGGGGATTTTGGGAAAGTTCATTTGTTTGTTGCAATAATAACTGTCAGCCCATAATTATATTGATGTTTGTCCAAACTTTTATTGGAATTAATCTTAGCCATTGGATTGAAGATTTTCAAAGATTGGGCAGTGTATATATATGCCCCACAACGTGGATACTCAAGATTCAATTTTATGAAGCATCATCTTCTTCAATAAAGTAAATCCTAACATTAGCTTTGTCCTATAGTACACCAAAAGATTGGTCAATCATTCATAATGTTTCTTACCTAATCATAGTGTAGATAACATGTATATCCATTAAATAATTGTTTTTAAAAGGCAATATAAATATTTCGTAGATTCTAGACCCGATGAAATACATCGAGTGATCTTACACCATTAATCTATATATAATAACATACACCCATATGTATATGTGTTTGGTAGGTGGTTACTTGTAAGAACTATGGTGCAAGACTTCCCGATGGTGTAACATCTCACACACTGCAAGTAGAGCGGTTCCTGAGAAATTAGGGACCCTAAGCGAGTTTTAAGAATTTGTAAAAAATGGGTCTCTATTAGTATTGTAATATACACATTAATTCATTATAACGAGCACAGCTGAACAATTTTTTTGATTAGCAGTTAAGAATTTTGGGAAAAAATTGGACTAAAATATTGACAAAGTTAAGTTATATAATTTTTCTTTTCAAACTAGTATAAAAATATTATTGAACAAGTAAATATATAAAACCTATGTTTAAATATAATAAAATAAAATATAGTATATTTCAACTTGCCAAAATCCTTTGAAGTTATTAAAAAAATGCAAAGATTGTTCGAAATAAAAGTTATAAAAATTTGATATAGAACTCAATATCTAACTAAATGTAATTGATCTAAGACATTTCATTCACATAAAATGCTAGAATTAGTGTAAAATTTCCAATAAATACTAAAACTATGTGAAATAATATAGCTATGTTATTTAAATTGTTTTAACTATTTATAAATTTTAAATATCATTTAATACTATGATTAGTATATATAAAGAATATAAAATATTATTTGGGGCCCCTATTTTTCTTTTAAAATCGGGAGCTCGAGACGACGACTTCTCTCGTCTATAGTCAGAACCGGCTACGGCTGCAAGATAAATATGATAAAATATTATTTATGGGTCAACCAAAAATATCAGTGAATTTACAAAATATCAAATAAAATCCAAGTAATCGATTAATCATGATAAATATTTCAAGCCAAACAAGGCCTATATATAATCAATATGATTTAAAAGACAACTATAAACAATTACATCCATCTCCCGTGGGACAATAGCTAGTTTTGCAAGAAAGGGAAGGAAACAAAAAGCAAATTAACCATAAATAAAAGAAAAAGTAATGTTTTTGCAAAATGTGGCCAAACAGAAATTATGGTTTGTTTGGGGGTCGTAATCAACATTTAATAAAAGATAATATACAAAATATTAAAATTTTCTTATTCGGCTTCGGCTTGAAGCCGGTTTTCCAAGCTCAGCCAGAACAAGCGCCAGATTTGCGAATGACATGAAGCAACGACTTCAATCATTGTTAGCAATTTATTGATTTAAATATTTTATTTTAAAAACATTGAATTTGAAATATTTTTATTTGATTAACCCGACTGGATTCTATATTCTAAATTGAATTCTATATTCGAAAATGATATTTATATATTTTATTTAATATTCCAGCACACTCCCTAGTATAAATCGTATTAGTAATCAACTTCCAGCATATAAATCTCGTGTAACTTCTAATAATACCATTTTAATTTTAAACGCAATTTTAATCATTTCAAAAAATTAATTTTGAGTCAATATTTTAGTTTTTTGAGTTTGTTTTCTAAAGAAATTTGAATAATAAATATTGAATGTCGAGTTAGTTAAAATTTAAAATGTAACTTATTTATATACAATTTCGTCACTGGACACTGAAATTAGTTGATTCAAGTTGGTTTAGGTAGCTATCTCAAGGGACTACAATTTTATGTTCTGAATTTTGCAAAAATCAAATATAAGCAGATCAAAATCACATTGGAAGTTCAAATAATATTAATAAAATTGAAATGACAATTAATATTTCAGTAAACACATATATCATTTTGTCTAATAAAATACACCATAATTTAGAATGTATTAAAAAATAAAATTATAGATGATATCTATGAGTGGAACCATATTATTGGCTGATTAATATAAACTAAAAAAAAAGAAAAAAGAAAGAAAAAGAGAGTGAGAAGCCATGATTGAAAACACATTATGTAAATAGACAGAGTAGTCCCAGTCCCAAATGGTCATGCTCATCATTATCTCAATCTCCAACCCCACACACACACACACACACACATTTACACACAAATACACACAGTACTCCTTTTCTCTCTCACACACAAACACACGCACACACATCTTTATGATCATTTTTCTTTATATATATATAACAGTCCTCCCTCCATAGTTGCATCCCAGCACGCCCCATTCCTACATTCTGTAAAGCACCACCACGCTTCTCTCTCTCTCTTCTTTCTCTCTCTACTTTTTCTCTCTCTCTCTCTCTCTCTATCAAATCAAAGTCCACTCCTCTTTTCTGCTGATTATATTCTCCTCTTTCGTAGAGAGAGAAGAGAAAAGTAAAATTGAACTGGTTTTTCTCCGTTTCACATTTTTAGAGAGAGAAAATTTAGAATATGATGACGGCCGGAAAAGAAGATTTGGGGCTGAGTTTGAGCCTGACCTTCCCGCCGGAGAAGAAGGCCGTTTCGAATATTCCGAGCTCACTGCACCTCAATCTCATGCCTTCTTCGCCTTCTCCCAATTTCACCATTTTCAATAATAATTTCAATTGGACGTCGACGCAACAAGCTGCTGCTGCTTTCCCCTTCTCAGGTTTGTTTAATTCCCCCAAAATCCAGATCTCTAATTTTTTTTGTTTCTCTGTTAATCGGTAGATCCAGTGTTTGATTTGAGTTAACTCCATGCAGATCGGAGCTCGGAGACATGCAGAGTGGAGACGACGAGGTCTTTTCTGAAAGGAATCGATGTCAACTGCCTCCCGTCGGCGGCGGCGGCGGAGGAGGAAGAGGAGGAGGAAGGCGGCGGCGTCTCCTCCCCCAACAGCACGATCTCAAGCGTGAGCGGGAAGCGGAGCGAGAGGGAAGACGCCACGGAGGAGCACGACGGCGAGAGAGCTTGCTCCCGCGGCATCAGCGACGAAGAAGACGCTGAGAACGCCCGGAAAAAGCTCCGCCTCTCCAAAGACCAGTCCGCCACTCTCGAAGAAAGCTTCAAAGAACACAACACACTCAATCCCGTAAGTCAGAAACACACACACACACACACACACAAATACACGCACACCAAGTGTTTGATGAAATGTGTTTGACGTTTTTTTTTATTTTGTTCTGCAGAAGCAAAAGATGGCTTTGGCTAAAAGATTAGGGCTAAGGCCAAGACAAGTTGAAGTCTGGTTCCAAAACAGAAGGGCTAGGTTAGTTAATTATTCATCTTTTATTTAATTTACTAATGGTGGTTTATTAGTACTAATTAATTAATTAATTATTCTTACAATAATTAACATGAAAAGATTTATTAAATTACAGGACAAAACTGAAGCAAACAGAGGTTGATTGCGAGTTCCTAAAGAGATGCTGCGAAAACCTAACAGAAGAGAACAGAAGGCTGCAAAAAGAGGTCCAAGAACTAAGGGCACTTAAGCTATCCCCACAGTTCTACATGCAGATGACCCCTCCAACTACTCTCACCATGTGCCCTTCTTGCGAGAGAGTCGCGGTGCCGACAATGGGGGGCCCACCGTCGAACGGCGGCCGAGCACCACCAGCTGCGTCCGCTGCCGCGGCAGTTCAGCCGCGGCCGATCACATTCAATCCGTGGGCTGCCGTCATGCCTAGTCAGCAGCAGCAGCAGCTGCACCGGCCGTTCGATGCTATTATGCATTCGAGATGATATGATTCTTGATTGATCTTTTTCGGGTTTTTAGGGAGTTTTTAATTACTTGAAAGAAATGCATAATTGTAATGATGATTGATATTTAGGAGGGATATCTGAAAGATTCTCTCTGTATTTTATTTGTCATTATCCCTTTTTAATTAGTGATATTTATAGATTGATCGTTGATTAGTACCGATATTTGGTGTAAATTTGCTGCTTTTGATGGTGATTTTTTTTGTTTTGTTTATGGATATATGTTATTAACATTTAAGAATCAAGTGTAGTAGAAGTAACTTGTATGTTATTTGACTATCCCTATTTCATCAGGGTGCAAATTAATCAAGATGAAATGTGCAATACTCCTAGTTTTGAAAATGTTTTTAACAAAAATATCATTGACTTTATTAACTTTTCCACATACCTATATCTTATTTCAAATTTAAATTTGTGAAATGTACATAAAAATATCCTTAATCACTGTAATTCTAAATCATAATAATTATTTGCTTCATCTCTATCACTTTCATCTTTTCATCTAAATTTTTCCACTCTCCTACCGACCCCATTCATGCCGCTGCAAAAAAATCCAACCTTCCTCCACCGCTATTGCTGCCGCCTTCGTCTCCACATAATCTCTCTCTCTCTCTCTCTCTCTCTCTCTCTCTCTCTCTCTCTCTCTCTCTCTCTCTCTCTCTCTCTCTCTCTCTCTCTCTCTCTTTCCAGATCTGTACACCACTGCCATCGTCGCCTCCTCCCCCACCTTCTCTTTCGTTCACCGCCGCCGTCGTTGCCTCCTCTATCTCTCTTTTGTTGTCTTCTATCTACGTTTGGATTTTTCTCTTTTTATTTTCTCTTCCAGATGTGAAGACATACGATTTCTTTCTATCTCAAGCCGATGATGTTCAAGAAGATAGACAAACAATAAGCCAATTAAAGAGAATAATTCTATAGTCATATGTGGTCATATATATAAGAGATTTGTAGATTCTTTTAATATATAATACTGTTGATGGTTGTTTTGGTTGAGTAATTAAACATATAAATTTTTGGATATATATTGTGGGATACAAGTTGGCTGGTAATAATAAGAATCAAATTATTATTTTTTTTGTGAATGTTGATTAGATTTTTTTTTCGTGAATGATAGTCTCTTTTTTTTTTTTTTTTTTTTTTTTTTTTAATATAAGTTGATTAATATGACTATACTACACTATATAATCGAAAATATACAATTATAAGTTGAAAAATGTAAAAAAGGGTAATATGAAGCAATAATAGTACTATAGTCGTATATAGTCATATTCAAAGTAGTAAATTGTTCGGGAAAAAAGAATCAAAAAAAAAAAAAAAAAAAATTATTTTCTTTAAAGAAGAAAATATAAAAAAAAAAACCAAAAATATTAAATGAATCCTAAATAATGATATATGTTGATTGTTGGCCGAAAACCTACACGCAAGTGCACGTATCGTACAAGTAATATAGTGGACTAATTTCAACCAATTATGATCAAGCCCACCCTAGACAGTCGAATTTTAGAGAGAATTAACTAAATTAAATTAAAAAGGCAAATTAAAACGACAAAGCAAGAAAGCAAATTAAACACGAAGATTTATCAGAGTAAACGAGCCTAGGATTTTATTTCTTCCCCCTATGTGATTATTATTCCCCCCAATTCCTTCAATTATGCAAGCAATTAATCCGGGATTATTAACCTGAGACGCTAAAATAATCATAACCCGCTTCCGCGTGTATTACGATTCTAATACTCTAGATTCAATTACTATATTCCTATGCAATTAATTCTAGAACACAGCATTAAGCACAAATCTCAATAATGGCTACCTAAGAGATTAACTATATTCCTATGTTAATACCACAAAGGCTCTTCTACCACAGTTCTAATTATTAACCCGATCTTCCGATTCATGCGATTAACAATAACATAAAAGCACATAAGTTGATCAAGTTCATGCACTTAATAAAACAAGTAGAAGAAATAATCCGGAATTAAAACTTGCATAAAATCATAGAATTGGGTTCATAAATCCCACATAGGGTTCCAAATAAAATCCTAGAAATAAGAAAATTAGCTACTCATGATTAAAGGAAAAACACAAATAAAATAAGTTATAAACGATAAATCTATGCTTAGAGTCTTCGAATTCTTCGTCTTTGTTATTGCTTTGTTGCTCTTCAAATTGCGTCCGAAAGATCCTCAATTGTGTGCTTGGCTTGGTCTTATATAGGGTGAAGAACTTGGGGAAGAAGGCAGTTTCTTTGTGCAATTAAAATCCTTTTACTGCGCAACTTCGGAGTCTCGGACGGGGGTCCCACAATTTGCACTAAAACTGGGACGGGTGTCCGAGCTTTAAATCTTCACAATTTTGATATTTTCACTTTTGACCCATATTTTTGCCAAAATTGCAGTTTTGACCCCATACTTTTCCAATTCTTCAATTTGTACCTAAAATACAATAAATCAACTTTTTAAGCACCAATTATCGTTAAAACACACCAAAAGCTCAAATAAAAAGATACGATAAAGTGTAAAAATATACACTTAACACACCCCCAAACTTGAACTTTTGCTTGTCCTCAAGCAAAATCTACCAATAAGCAAATAACTCAACTATTACATCTCATCACATAGATCAATGATCAACTTCACGTTTTCAGAACTTGTAATTATAATGACAATTCTTAGGCATTCGCAAGCTCAAAATTCAACAACACTTAGTCACTCACCATTACCAAAAACCACAATTCATAAAATTGCTTCAAGCATCCAATATTTGCAAATTAAAGATAGAAAGAATTTATACTTACATGCATATGCTTGACTCCAAATACTCACCAAATTATTCTACTCTACTAATATCGAACATTAAGCTATTGGGATCATTGGGGCTTTGTGGCTTTCAATTGTTAGGCTCTTTGGTTCGAGGTAGGAAATATGGGTATGTGTGGCTATTCTTCTTGAATTTAGGTGATTACGCCAAAATGCGTGGCGTTTGAAACAATGAATTCACCTCTACGGACTTTAGTAAACTCGATTCTCAAAAGTTCAAAAGTCTCCACTTTTGCTTTTGAGGCAATGGATTGAGTTTTCAAAAATAATTCAACAACTAGTCCTTATTTCTCCCTTCTAGTCTCTTCTTCTTCTTCTTTTACTTTTTTTTTAGAGAAGAAGAAGGACCTTATAAAATTTTCGACCGAACTCCAAGGGGTAATTTTCAAGAATCTCCACCTATTCTACCTTACTCATTGGCTAAAAGAAAGAACACCTTTTCTCCGAGGCTCAAATCAAGGTTCTAAGGATAATTTCGATAAAAAGGTCGGCTTGAAAGGCTCAAACGGTTCAAAGAAGGCCCAAATCATATCCCAAATCACTCACTACTCAATACTTCGTATCATAAATTTCCTAAGGTGAGTCTTAAAACCGAACATATCATGATCTAGCACAAATTAATTCCAAATTTAAAATACAAAACATTCAACCAAAGCAATGCACAAAATGTGATTCCTAGCAATAATTCGCTTCTAAGTCCCGTTGAATCGAAAGCTAAACAAACATCAAATCCTTATCACACAAAACAAGCAATATCATCATCAAACATTGATCATCTCTCATCATCATAAATCATCGATGCATTCGACTCAAGCAATTTTTTTTTTTTTTATATATATTCCGGAAAAACGATAAAAACAATAAAAACGAATAAAACCTAATGCATGCAAACTAAAACAAATAAGCACAAAAAAATAACATGTTTTTCACCCCCAAACTTAAAATTTTCGTTGCCCTCAACGAAATTAGCACAAAGTTTAAGGATAGAAAACACCTGATTTAGTCGGAGTCGATGTGATCGAGATGCTCCTCCCTAGCTCTCTCATGCTCCTCATCATCGGAAAGCTCTCTCGCTCCATCTTCATTCGGAATCGTCGATCGGCACGGGAGCTTGAGGCTTCGGGGTCGTCTCGGGCTTGAGGAGCAGCTTTGGAAGAGGAATCGTCGTTTTGGTGGCACTTTTTTTGCCTTTTCCTTTGCCTTTAGAAGATGAAGCTTCACTCGTGCGGCTTCTTTTGTTGGACAAGAAAGTTGGGAGAGAGGTTGGAATAGATTCGGTAAGAATTGGTTGACAATCGAACTCAAAATTTGGTTGGAGCAAATTATCGAACACCTTGTGGGCGTGCCTTGAAAGAGTAGACTTTGGAGAATTTGGTTTGATTCTCTAGCTTCCTTTTGTGTGTGAGAGTTTGAGAGAAGGAAAGAGGAGGGTTTAGGAAATAATGGGGGAAAAAATCTAATTTTTTAAAGTTAAAACGCCCTGAAAATAGTCGGACGGCCGTCTCGGTTTTTGTGCTGATTTTCGGACGGCCGTCCGAAAGTTGCTAAGCCTTACTGGTTTTGGGACGGCCGTCCCACATTTTAGGCATATTTTGGGACGGCCGTCCCACCTACTGTAGAACCGCGTTCCTCCATCAATGATAATTTCTTTCGACACTCTGAATCGCGCGAAAGTCTATTTTTTGGGTAAATTACACCCACACCCCTGAGGTATGCTTAAATAACTTTAAGGTCCATGTGGTTCCCCTTGAAACGTAGTTATAAACTCTAATGGGATAATGCATTGGATACGTTATTACGATAGAGTTCTTACGGACTATTGGTTTCATGAACTGGTGGAGACAACAAAGAGTTATGGGTGATTTAAGAAATATTGAGGGAGCCATGTCACCTCATAATTCCCCACAACTCTATGTTATCTCCACTACTAGCTAAAAGTAATAGTCCATTAGAACCGTATCGGAATAATGTATCCAATGCATTATCCCATCAGAGTTTCTAACTACGTTTCAGGTGGTGAGTGTAATTATCGATACCATAGGGACCTTTAAATTATTTAAGCATACCTCAGGAGTGTGTGTGTAATTTACCCTTTTTTTTGTTGAGAAGCTTATAAACAATAGATGCATCATTAGTAGGCATGGTTGCTTCTACCTATTTCGATACGTAGTCAACAACTAGTAAGATGTATATATATAGGTTATTGAAAGAAGAAACAAAGGGTCCGATCAAATCAATACTCCATACGTAGAAAACCTCGATTTCATTCATGATGTTCAAGGCTAGTTCATGCCTTTTGAAATATTGCCTACTTGTTGGCACACATAACATCTACTAACAATTACGCATCATACAAAGGAGTAGGCCAATTTACCATGCCTCCATACTATATGACATTATTATTACTTACTACGTCCTTTTAGTTATTTGTTCGAGGATGGGAATATTTATGAGGGAACAAAAGAAATGAAAAAGCAAGCCTTTAGCAAAGTATAATAATGTAATACACTATAATAGTATACAATGCAACTTGAAATAAGGCAAATGGACCAGGCTTTGTTAGTATCCCAACTTCTTTTTACATGTTAAAGGCAATTTGTAAAGTCAAGATTATTAGCCAATAAATCAATCTTACAACAAACGTAATAATGATTGATTATTATGTTGTTTCAAGCAATTGTCTTTTACCTTTTTTGTTGTTCGCTCTCCTCCAAAATGTTCGGCATTAAAGTTTGCAGAATAACAACTTTTTACGTGTTAAAAAAACTCTATTGTGTACAACTTGATTTTATGGTCTTACCAAACGAAGGACTATACCTCGTTTGCGGCAATTAAATTGTCGACTTGTGTATTAGTTATGCATGGGATATGGAAATCCAGGTGTAGTGCTCGGTTTGACGAAGAAACTATAAATCCTTTATCGATTATTCGGAGAATCATGCATCAACTGGATTGGTGGCGATGCAGCTAAACCCGAAAAAGAAGAACTCTGCGCTCCAAGATAACATTCTTGGAAGTTTGAGACTGCCGAGTGCTCCGGTGCGCGAACCGGTTCGCCGGTGGTTCCAATGGGAGAAGCCTCCGTTAGGTTATTATAAGCTGAATGTGAACGGGTGGTATATGGAGGGGTTGTGTGCGGGTGGATGAATAATCCGAGATGGTCAGGGGATATTAGTGGCCGTTTTCTCTTCTTTTTATGGCCATGGTTCGAATAATAAAGGTGAATTATCGATCTCTTAGATGGATTACAAGTCTGTCAAGCCTTGCAGTTGAGTAACATACTTATCGAGAGTGATTCTACGATTGTAGTCAATGCTATACATGGGAGATCGTCAATTAGTTGGGACTTCACATATTTACTTCGCCTATGTAGTGAAATATTTCTGTCAGGTTATTCAATTAGTCATATTTTTCGGCAAAAGAATATTGTGGCGGATGGGCTAGCGGCTTGGGCATACAATCACAAGGGTTATCAAGATTTTTTTCAAACTCGGGGATCTTCCAAACTCTGTTTGAGGTATGTTTCGTTGCAATCAGTTGGGTTTATGGGAGTTACGATAATGAAGATGATGGTTTGAGTTTTTGATATTGCATAGATGCCCCATTATGAGGACTGATGTTCAAGTTCAAAATCTGCTCCATGGAGTCATGTGGAGAGTATATTCAAGTGGGCGGAATTGCAGATTAACCCCTGCCTGGGGTCTTTTTTAGAAATATCAAAACTGCCATAGGAATAGAAGTTTTTTTTTTTCTCATTTTACTCTATTTTGGTGTTTCATTGTTATAGACTCGATAGGGTCGTCTACGATTTTTTATTGCCATTGTAGGGGTACTTTTCTTTTTCCATGTGATAGGCCTACAGGGTTTTAAAGAGGCCCCAAACACTTTATCATAATGGAATAATAAAACCATTTTTGGCCAAAAAAAGAAAGGCACATTTTAAAGTCGAGATTCATTGGCCAAGAAATCAATCATACAACAAACATAATACTGATTGATTACTGTGGCCTTCAAGCATTCGTCCTTACCTTTTTTTGTTGTTAGCTTTTCTCCATAATGTCCGGCATGATAGTTTGCGGCATGAGAACTTTTCACATGTTAAAGGAAATTTGTAAAGTCGAGATCATTAGCCGATAAATCAATCTTACAACAAACATAATACTGATTGATTACAGTATGGTTTCAAGCTATTGTCTTTACCTTTTTTTGTTGTTTCTCCTCCACAATGTCCGACATCATAGTTTGCGGAATGGCAATGGTGCAGAATATCGAACGTATCTTTCTCCGAGTTGTATCTTCTAATTGTTGCATTTCTTAAACAAGAAAGGATATTTCCAAAAGTAGAATTTATGCTAGCGTGTCAATATAGACCTATTGATTTATGCTAGCATGTCAATATGTACCTTTGGGCCTGAGCCATTCATAGCCCCCTCTCTTTCTCAATAAGTAAAACTATTTTCTCTCTATATGTAAAATTAATAAATAATTAAAATAAAATTTAATTTAAGTTATTCACTGATAATATTTTGGTACGGTACGATACAATTATACAATTTTAATAATATAGAGACCTGTTGTGCATGTCCTCAAAAATATTTTATTACGGTACGATATGACACGACAATTATTCAGTAGAAACATTTCAGTAGAATTGGTATGGTTCGATAGGTCAATCGGTTTGTAGGGCAATATGGTAACCAATCCACCCATATCCTTATCTATTCTACTTTCACGGCATTATCATACTTGTCCCACAAGTATCAGAAATCCTTGTCTTTCATAAATCATAAAAAAAAAAATTCTAGTTCCCTATTTGATCTACTAACCTAACGAATCCTTCAAGAATCGGGCTTCGCTATTGTGGCCTGCAAAATAGCTTGTATGATCGTGGCCTGATATGGCAAATTGACCCAATCAACACGTTTTTCCATTGACGATGCGCAACAAGGTCATCCACAAAGGCATTTTGTACATTGTTCTATATGTCCAAAGTGCGTCATCAAGTTTCATCGACCAACCGTTACGAGTCGGATCACGACCTTTTCCGAAATTTCTTTGATTTTAGTATTATATACATCGGCTTGATGCTTCGTTTGTGGAAGATAGTTTAACGACACCTTGTGCTTGATCCTGTACTTTCACATCATTGAATCAAATTAGAGCAATTCCAATGGAGAGGTATTAAAATGAAGCATCAAACACTCAATTGATGCTTAATACTTTGATACTTTTAAAAAACTCATATGCTCCAACCAATAGGCATTAAATAAATTATTATCCATTTTTCATTGAAATTTATTGATATTTTATTTATTTTTTTTCGTTGAATTTGGTAGAGCTATTTTTAAGGAATATTTGGTTCCTCTTTTTTTTTGGGTGCATTTTTGCACCTCTAGGAGATTGAGTATCAAATTAACTACCACTTTAATGCCTCCACTGGAGTGAAATATTTTACACTTTAGGGAATCAAAATGGTAGTTTTGTAATTTAATACTCCATTTAGTTCTCCCATTGGAGTTGCTCTTATGTTGTATAACCGCGTTTTCCATCAAAGATGATTTCTCTCGGCTCTTCGAATCGCGTGAAAAATCCGTTTTTCTTTTTGGGAGAAATTTATAGACAGTAGATGCATCATTAGTAGGAAAAGTGGTTGCATCTACTTATTTCGATACGTAGCCAACAACTACTAAGATGTATATATAGGTTATTTAAAGAAGAGACCAAGGGTCTGATAAAATTAATACCCCATACGTAGAAATATTGCCAACTTGTTCAAGGGTAGTTCATACTTTTTGAAATATTGCCAACTTGTTGGCACATATCACAACTGATGTTGTCCATTGTACGCCGCTCTGCCGTCGTTTTCTCCCGTCTCACATCATAGATCTGTCGTTAATTACCGTTGTAACACCCCCAAGCTCAGTGACTCCGAAATCACAACGACGACATCTTGCCCCCTCAGATTATTAAGGAGCTTGAGAGAAGGAGAAGAAGAGAAAGTGAAAAAGAGAAATTTCATATTGAAGAGAAGAAAAACACGGCGTAGAAAATATAGATGAAAAATTATGGTCAAAGAAGATATAAATCATTAAGGGTACAATTGAAAGTTTATTTCTATTAATCACCCAACGTAGTAACTAAGGGAGTTCTCTCAAATTATTTATTTGAGGGAGGTCTACCTCACATCATTTTTCCAAATGAGGAGGGTGTTGGTAATTTTTCCTTACAAGAATTCTTCATCAAAGAAATCTCGGAGGCGCCTAAGGGGACCTTTCTAAAGAGAAATTTGGTAGTGCTATATTTTGCGCAACCACGTGCCTAGGGGTGGAAATTGGAACGAAATTTTGATTTCCGCCGATTCCGATTCGAAATTTTCCGATTTGGAACAATATTTTTCAATCCGAATTCCGAAATTCCGACTTTCAATTTTTTTGAAATTATTTGGATCTGAATTGGAATACATATGCGATTCCTATTTTTGATCCGATTAAAGTTCCGAAAATAATTCCGAAAATTTGAATTTTTTTCCCGATTATTACAATTCAAATACAAATATTATGCTGCATTTTATATTTAAGGTGAGCAAGAATTGGATAATTCCGAATTTCTCCGATTCCGATACAAAATTTTTCAATTTTGGAACAAGTTTTTTCATTCAAATTTCCGAAATTTCGATTTCCGTTTTTTTTTTCCATTTTTTGGAACGGAATTGAAACTAGTTTTTCACTTCGGAAAAAAAATTGGATTTTTTCGAAATCGCTAATTTCTATCCAATCAGTCCGATTTACACCTCTGCACGTGCCAAAAAAAATCTATAAATTTAAATATATTCTAGGATTGCCATTAAGGTTGCTTTTTTGATCATCACTTACAAATTGGTTTTATCCCGCCAGCCAAGCAACCTTAGAGCTCGTTCGGTTATCATTATTAGGTTCAAGTGATTAAATAATACAAACAATCGATTGACAAGATTCGTACTTACTCATTAGGTTCAAGTGATTAAATAGTACAAACAATCGGTTGAGAAGATTCTTACTCACTCAAATTCTCTACAAAAGTTAAAACCTGCAATTAAATTAGTAGCACCCCTCCGTCTCCCTCTAAGATGAATTTTGTAGGGAGCGACTAAACAAAAAGACTATTTTGTCCTTAAAAGTACACGTTCATTTATTTTTAAGATTTTTAATATTCTTATAAAAGGTTAGTCATATTAATTACCAATTACTACATATAGATAGTTTTCATGATTTGATTCCTCCCGAAACTTAAAGAGCTTTCTTTTGCAATAAGTTTTCATGTAAAGTCAAAGAAAGTCAAAGTAGTGGAAAAGAAAAGCAAAACATGAAATTATTTCACGTATTATCTGCATATATATATATATTGACATATCTTCAACGAACAAAGCACACATGCATTTATATATCTTATTAGCTAGGCTTTGTTGAATTTGATTTAAAGGGTCGGAAAATCCACCACCACCGCACCGCCGCCATTACTCCACCGCGCGACCATCAAGTTATATATTAAAAAAAAAAAAAAACAATAATTTTTACATATATATACATTGTTATTCAATAAGGAAAAATAAACTTCTCTATCAGAAATTAATTAAATAATGGTTGACCAATCAGAAAGGAGATCACATATAGTAGTGATCTTCACGTTCACAGTGTTGATCGTCCATGCTTCCTGTTGGCGCCCATTTTCTGCCCCTCTCCCTTTCATTTTGCTTCACGGTATTTTACCCTTTTTTTTTCTCAATTCAAATTTTATTTATTTAATTATTTTATGGTAGTCCTAATTAATTAAATCTTTGAATTTATTTTCAATAAATATAGGGATAAATAGTCAGTGTTCGAGTTCCGAAATCGCAGGGTACGTTAATCGCCTGAGCGAATGGTCCAACACCACAGGATACTGCTTGTATGTATTATCTTCAATTATTTCTTCATTCTTACTTTCTTCAATTATTAGTTATTACTTCTTCTTTATTTTATTTTTGAATTTATACATGTAAAAACCATTTGGGGGCCGTGCCCCGAGTCCCCAAATAATTTACCCTTATCTTTAGATGTTTTATTTCCAAAAAAGTTTGCGCCCCTTACAAAGTGGTCTGGATCGGCCCCCGCCCATTGGAACCGGAAGCGATGATGGCGGGGGGAACGAGTTAATATATAAATATACCCAAATATGTTTACGATTTATAAATATTGTTTTTTTCAAAACATTTTCTGTTAGCAGTTCTAATAATATTTCTATTCGCTGAATATGGCCCTTTTTTTTCAACTTTCAAGAATTTGTTTTGGAATGTAAGTAGACATATTAGATATACATAAGTAGAGACCCTTAGAGTTATATATTTTTTTATAATTTATAATTTACAAATATACCCTGATATGTTTTACAATTTATAAATATACCATTATATTTTTAGTATTTTTAAAATATTGTATGGCTGTGTCCGTGTCCGTGTCCGTGTCCGCGTATTGTCTTATTGGCATTCCATGTCTGTGCTATATAGCTACTAATGTGAAAATAAAATGAGAAGAATTGTGCAAAGAAAATGAAGTATAGGACATATTTACACAATAAAATAAAAGTTGATGAATTTTATGCGTGCTTTTTTTAGTCCTATATACAATTTCGGAACCAGCATAGGGCTAGGGGAAATAAAAAATAAAATAAAAAAAATCATGTATAATAACATCAACGCCCCCTCCCCTTTTGGCATAACTTTTTTAATTCATCGCGAACTTCAAATTTTGGCACATGTATGTTTCTTTTTGCCTTGAATATGATTTTTCATAATTTTGCAGAGAAATAGGAAATGGGATTTGGAGTTCATGGGTTGTTCCCCTTGAGAAACAGGTGTTCTTTTCTCCCTTCTAACAATTATAATTTATTACATCTAATTTTATTACCATTAGATGGTGAATTTTAATTATTTTTTTTTCTTCTTTTGTTCTTTTTCTTTAAATTTTCCCTTTTGAATAGGTCGAAGAAGCTTGCAAGAAAGTGAGAAAACTCTTGTCTTGTTTCAACTTAATTATTATTTTTTTTCCCTTTTGACAATTAAAAGAAAAACATTAAAAAAATAATTTATTTATTTATTTCAGTTTATGATGAAGTTGATTTGAGTGTGCAGGTTAAGGCAATGAAGGAACTGAAAAAGGGATACAACATTGTTGGTCTTTCACAGGTCTAATCCATAATTAACTCTATTTATTATCACATTTCCCTAATTAATCCTCACCTTGTTCTTACAGTGTCACGTTTATAAATTTATAATATAAACTATTTAATCCATGCAAGTTTATTTATTCTTTTATCATCATTATATAATAAGGAGATGAAATAATAGAAACGATATTAAAGAGATGTATCACGTTAAAATTAACGTTGAGATAATCTTCTTTATAGAGAGAGTAATTTTATAAAGAAAATATTACTGCCAACCACAATAATATTACAAAGCAAAAAGTGTTTAGGAATAAGAAAGTTCAAAAAAAATTACACAACAATATTACAAAGCAAAAAGTGTTTAGGAATAAGAAAGTTCAAAAAAAAAATTACACAACAATATTACAAAGCAAAAAGTGTTTAGGAATAAGAAAGTTCAAAAAAAATTAGGGTTAAAGGAATGAAACTATAGCATAAAAATGCGATGGAGTATTTTAATATTTTACACACGTCTGAATATTATCTGCATTTTTTTATAAAAGAGGTTAGGGATACGAATAAGTAGCCGATAGCCAATAAAAACAAATACATTGATTAATTTGTACCAGTAATATCAATTATTTTAATATACTCTCAGGGGACTCTGATTGGTCGAGGAATTGTGGAGTTTTGTGAAGGAGCACCACCGGTAATAATATAATAATTTGAGGACAATTAATTGTTACATATATATTTCTTTTTGCAAAATGTGAAACTTGTGATTTTGATTACTAATTAATGTTATATATATATATATATATATATTTGTCATTCATTTTTTCAAATGTATCAGGTAAACAATTTTATATCTATAGGTGGGCCACAAGCTGGCATTGCTTCAGTACCTACTCACACTTATGTAAGTGTGCTTCTAGGTATTTGTCTAAGTTTATTTAAAATATCTATATATTAAAGTTTATAAGATATCATATCCTAGTTTAAAAACAATTTCTTAAGTGAATGATAAAAGATTATGACAATTACATAGCTCGCGTTGAAAATCGAATCAAACTACTCGATACTCGATTCAAGATCATTTGTTAAAAGTTCGTTTCGAACTCAGTTTGTTAACATAAAAAACCAAACTTGAACATATATTTTCGTTACATAAGTTATGAAGTTCAGCTCGAGCTTGAACTTGGTTAGAAAAAAATACTAAAACATGCCCTCCAGTTTGATTCGTTTTCTTCTCGATTAAAACTCGTTTTGGAATTCAAATACTAAAATAAATTGCAAGTCGAAGGGGTAAGATAATTAAAACTATTTTAAAATAATAAATTAATTAGAAAAGCATATATTTTTCCAAGCTCTTATCCTTTGTAAGCTTTGCAGACAAACATTTCAGCCGTCCGTGCTATAGCTAATAACATACTAAGAGCTGGAGTGTATTCTGAATATGCCCAAGTATTTATTTTTACATATCTTTTTTCTTTTTTTCTTTTACTAAATTCAAGAAACAAAAATATTTAACAATTTGATTTATTTACTATACATATTGCAGAATCAGTTTGCTCCAAGTGGCTATACCAAGATACCAGAGGTAAATTCAAATGGCTTTAGCCACAACATTCTTTTCTTATTTAACTCTAGGGTAACTTTCGAGGAGGTAACGTCAAATTACGAAAAATTTCTCCTGTTTGGATGATTACAACCAGCTTCTTCAACTATGAGTCTTCTTACACGTCCACCCTTATAATGTCAAATTCAACATAATTTCTAGATTCTACGGAATGTTTTCTAGTTTGTATGCACCACAATCTGATATATACAAGCCAAGAGACACATCTTATAACATCCTGTTTCAAAATGTAGAGCTCGAATAGGATAAAAGGGGTACAAACTGGAGGATATTCCACCTAATTTAGAAGATTCTACTAAATTTGACACCGCAAAAGTGGACGTGTAAGTAGTTTCATAGTTGAGGGGTGGTTGTAACTATCCAAACAGAAGGTTTTTTTTTTTCTCGTAATTTGACATTTCCTTGGAAGTGGCCGTAATTTACCTTAACTTTATAAAATTGTACATATGATTTTGGCAGAATATGAAAGGGTACTTAAAAAGCTGCAAGTTTCTACCAAAGCTCAACAATGAACGTCCTAATGATAGAAACCCTGTTTACAAGAAAAGGTTTACCAGCCTCAAGAATCTTATACTTATAATGGTAAATAAATAAATAAATAAATATAAAATATATATATATATATATTTCTTGATTTTTTATCAATCATTAAAAGATTCACATTCGGAAGAATTTTAAATATTTCACTGAATCACTCACCGAACCAACAGAGTGAAAATGAGACAGTAATCAAGCCCAAGGAAAGCTCATGGTTTGGATATTACGAAGAAGGAATCACGAAGAAAATATTGCAGCCACGACAAGTACGTACCATATAATTCTTATCGTAATATAACGAATTTTAGTTTAATTAACATCAAATTAAATTATGTTTTGCAGACAAAACTGTACATTGAGGATTGGATTGGTTTGAAAGCATTGGACAAAGCGGGAAGAGTTAAGTTTATAAAAGTGCCAGGCACTCATATAGAAGTGTCGGATGTTGACACGAAGAAGTATGTTGTTCCGTATCTGCAGAAGAAATGGCGTATAGTAAAAAAGAGTGGCGACACTGAGGCGGAGCATGGTGGTGCTGCGGCGGTCACCACCACCACTTGAAACTCGAATGCGGCCGGAGAATATTCAAACAAGCTTGAAATCATCAACGAATGAAACATGTAGTAAACAACTTCTCCAAATGGATTCTATAATTTAAACATAAATTAAATGTCGATGACATTAAAAGACTGAAATGAGTTCAATAAAACATGCCAATCTTTGACACAAGTCATATGAAACTCCCCAACAAAAACATCTCCAACAATAAGTTATCGAAAACAAAACCTAATTGAATACAATTTATTCCATACACACATATGTTGATCACCTGTATAGGCCAGTACTTGAAGAATAGATGTAGCACCCCCTCTTATATAGGCGATAAATCGAACCAGTTTATTGGAATTATATTTTATTTATCGAAAGCAACTTATAGGATCTCTTTTAAAACTTAGAAGAATCAAAACTTTGCGATTTTAAAACCATACTTGAACATTTAGAATCCTAGTAATTTTCGAGAACATGCTTTGAAGAGTTTTAGTCAATTTAATTTCTTTCTTCGCGTTTTAAAATAACCTTTTTGAGAAGGAGTTTATTCGAGTGCTACACTATCGTAAAACATAGGTTCAAAATAAAATTCAGAGTTTAAAAATATTTTTGGCGATAAACGATAAAGTCATAACACAAAGAACTATTCATAAATATAAACGGATCAATATATTACAAAGTTCAAAATATGATCCGTTACCGATTAAAGTCCCATCCTTTAAAGAGGAGTACGATAATATAATAAACGAAAACGGAAATTGTCTTAGATTACATCACCAAAATAGTACTTAGCCACACTTATAGTACTCTTGTTCGAACTTCCAAAAACTCCGGGCAAGACTTTGATCCACTACCCAGTCAATTCCGGGGGAGGGTTACCACTAGCTCTACCTGCAATTATAAAATATCTACATCAGCTAATAAGCTCAATAAGAAATCCGAGGAATTGCCGCGAGTCGAAAACAGGTTATATATATATATATATATATATATATATATATATATATATATATATATTATATAACACTTCAATCACCTTCATTGAGTCAGACAAACATCAAACAAGAACCAAATAAAACATACAAGTCACAAAAATGCTTATAAATGCAATCTGTGTAAAAATTCACTTTTCATTTATCGGATCCGTGAAAGATTAATTTCTATATTCGGATAATAAACCATTTTGAGTCCGTCGAATGGACCCAATACCACTTATATCACTTGTATCACTCCTCTCAAACCTAATTGGATACCGGCCAACCGTATCAAATTTGTTTATTACCCAAAGATTCCATTATTCTTTAAATTTTGTGAAAAAAATGTTTGTCATGGAATTACTTCAAAATTTGCAAGTATTTATATCAAAGTGTAAAATCATTCCTCATTTTAAACATCACAAATATCAATCAAGTTTGCATCAACACAATCACATAACTAGGTAAAAAAATGTAACTACTTAATTGCACAATTAAACCAACACGTATATCAATACCACATACAAAGCCCAATGATGCTTATAAAGTAAAGACACTTTTATTCCATCATTTAATGAATTTTTCACCACTTTTACTCATTTATTTCACCTTAATAAATATCAACAGCCCCATAAACATGTCTCTGCTGTAAATCCAGGTTCATAATCATGTCTTATAATTTAAATGTCACAATTCTAAGACACATCAATTAAAGCACAAGATCTTCATAATTAGCACATAAACCCTTAAAATTCGAAATAATAATAAATGGTCTTTAAAAATTCTCAAGTTTAATCCTAAGACTTCTAATTATATAAATTTCGAGATTCCGATTTACATATTTACAATTCTTTTTAATTTTAAATAATAAAAATAGCTAGAAAACTCATTTCTTTACCAAAAATTGATTTTTCTTCCAAATATTCAATAAATCGTTGAAAACCCCTAAATCAAATATTTTCTTACTAAAGATCTACTAAAAGATAGTTCCAAAACTTATTCAAAGCTGGAAATTTTGAGAATTTGTAGTTTAGTCCTTAAACCTTTTAGATTTGTACATGCAAGCCACAAGAAATGAAAAACTCCATTTTTCTTGTAAAAATATTTTAAATTTTGAAATTTTTGAATCTTTAGTCAAGAAATAGTAGTACTTACCGATTTTAAACATAGTAAATATGAAAGAAAAGGAAATTAAAAATTAACACACTATTTCCATTTTCCCCAAAAAATCCCTATATTTCGAAATATTTAGAAATCCTTTAGGTAATCTTGAAAATTCTTTTAAATAATATGATATCTTCTGATTGCAGCAAGAAACTGAAAATTTCTTACCTAAATCATCAAAAAGCAAATGAAGAACAAACAAAAGAGAGAACCTTCAGGGGTTGATGCCAAATTCGAGCCAAGCCACATTTATAGTGAAAGATATAGTGCATGCTTCTAAGATGGATGTGTTGTTTTTTCCAGTGAATGGACAAGTATTTCTTATGGTGTTCTTTGCATACTCTAGAGCCATGGTTAAATAGGGAATTTTCATGGTGGTTTATATATATATATATATATATATATATATATATATATATATATATATATATATATATATATATATATATATATATATATATATATATATATATGCATGTACACATAGCACGCATAGGATAATGCAAGTTCACTTTATTAATTTAATTAAGCCATTAAATAAGAAAATTTACGTAAATCATATATTTCATGTAATCACAAATTCACATATCTATTAGACACATAAAAACAATAAATCTACCAATTAAATATAGCACATCAACGTACCTAAAATATTCATGTAACTTATCAATTTAACTCACGTAATATAAAATTTTCGAGGCAATAATTTAAATTTGTATTTTGGGATTAGAAAATGTGGGGTATTACAATATATTTTAGTTTAAGTACCAAAAGTAGATCAGCGCTTGCGCATTTTCTTCACAAAGGATGGGCTACAATCATCCAACTCTAGCATCTCTACGGACTCCAGTTGTTCGGGGATGCTTTCCAATTTGTAGCAATGTCTAACAATCACATGGTACATATTTGAGAATTCCGCACCGTCGGATTCCAAGTGCTCTATATCTATGTCTTCCAGCAGCAAAAACTCAAGTTTGGGGAACACAGGGCTGCACAAAAAGCGCACCATTGCAGTTTGTGCATCGAAGTGTCGATAATGATGCAATCATTTCCATATTTTCCACAGCAGTCCACATCCACTTAGACATATCTTCTTTATGTCCATTGGAAAATTCAAACGCAAGGAACAACCTGAGAACTGAGATTAGGATTTACAACGACGCATTACAAATGACTCAAATTCCTCATAGATAGAGGTAAAATGACTGAAAAGACTGAAGGTTTCCATTGAGTCGTGTGTTGATTCAATCTGGTCGGCTATTCTGTTTAGGTTGGGGATCTTTAAAAGAACTTTTATCAGACAACTGTAAACAGTCTCACCTGAAATTTTTAAGAGATTCTCAAGGACAAGATGATAACCATTCAAATGGGGATGTGGCAGGTCAAAGCCCATACAACAAAGTTGCTTCAGTTTACGCAGATTCCAAATCTCTATATGCAGATAATCCGTACCATTATTCGACAATTTGATGTTTAGATGTCGACAAAAATTCAAGGCTTTGAGGTTCCGATATGGAGTCGGGGAGCTCTCCGTCACATGTGATGGCAAGGTACCTTAAGTGAATGAATGAAAGTATTTGATGTGGAAACTCGTACAAGCGGATTGCAAGTGAATCTAGTTTCTTAAGCAATCTAAAATGTAAGGGCAGCACTCCCGATATGGTTGTTTTGGACCGTTACAAAAGAATAGATCGTGCATTCTGAACTAATTCCATCCATTCATGCACTTGTTCAAAAGCAAGAACGTAACAATGTTATTGTGGATGCACATAAGCTGCTGGCTTATATTGTTCTCTGGAGGACAAACATTGTACTTTTTTAGGGCACAAAAACAACAATATCTAGATGATTCATTTTCTATCAAAACAACAATTTGGCCAATAAGTACATCTAAGTAGCTTTTGACAGTATTTTCCGCGTACTAAATACTCCAGTATTGATTGAGAAAGCCTTAAGAAACCCATAATTTGATGAGCTTGGATCGTGATATCCCATATTTTTTTTGGGAACACACCCATGTACATAAATAATGCCTTTAGATATTGAGGCAACATCATGTAACTAAAATAGCGTGCCTTTGAGAGTGGTGTCTCGTCATCTCTTGTGACGACGAGTGGATCTTTGTTTTCAAATAGTGTCTTCCATTCTTCAAACAGTTTTCCACGCAGGTTATCTCATACCTGTATGATTGCCGCTGGGAGTCCTTCACAGTTTCTTGCAATCTTCTTCCTAATTTTCTCAAGTTCTTGCACTTTTCTTCACTAGTAAATGTTGTTTGACGAAGTAGTTTCTAACTTTGATCGTCCTTCATCAATGGTAATAAGAAAACATCGGTGTTGAGCACAGAGCGACCTAAGCTTTGGATATGAGATATGATGATGAAGCGACTTCCTTTTCCATTATCTTGTAAATTGATTATACCAATCCATACATCGTCTAACACAGTGAGATAATTTTTAAAAGATAATGCCTCCGACAATTGATGATCCAAGTAATCGCAGTTTTTGTAAAGTAGCTTCTCATAGTGGATGACGTCAAGTTGATTGAGAACAAGCAACTGAATATCCGCGAATCGATTATACATCGGGCTGATGTGCACAAATAAACGTGTTTGGAACTCATTTACAATACGTGGGTCGTTGTAAACTTGTTTAACAAGAGTAGTTTCACCAATGCCGGTCATACGCACAACTAATTTAAGAGAGTGAAACGATTGTACATGTGGAAAATGTGTATTGCCATAGTGTATACACTCAAATTTATGTATATATGAGTTAGGGCGTTATTGTGGTATTCTGCAAATACTAAAAATGTGAGGGAGAGATAATACAAAGACTTAAAACCATAGCTGCCATTGTTAGGATTTTTGAGAGCTTGAGTGTATGTGTTGTGTGCTGTAAGATTTCGCCTCTTTGATCCTTGAATAGATTCAGCTACTTCTGCTTCGTGGATGTAAGATTCTTCTAAGCCAAACAACGTTATATATGTGTTCATTACATGTTTAATTTATGTGTTTTGATTATTGCTTCACAACTCAAAGTTTCACTACAATTATATATTTTTTACAATTTATAAATATACCCTTAATTATATTATTTAGTATTTTGAAAATATCCTATGGCCGTATCCGTGTATTGCATTATCAGTATTCTTGTGTCCGTGATACATAGCTACTAATTAAAACAAAGAAGGAGAGAAGAATTTTGTGCAAAGAAAATAAAGTACATAACAATTTTACACAATAAAATAAAAGTTGATGAATTTTGCGCGCGTTTTTCTTAGTCCTCTATATGTTGTTTACGCATAAATAGAGTGAAAACATATGATAAACCATCAGTTACGGTTCAACCAAATCTGACAATCATTTCCCAGTGATTACTCCAACCAATCATACCATATAATCTCCCCGGAAAAACTGCAAATCATTTTCTGTTTAATGTAAACTATTTTGTATTA